ACACTAGTGATTAATAATGGAATTTTGATCTGCTCTGCTAGCAAAAAAGCTAGCTTGTTTAATGTTGTTTACCTTTACAAAGAGGCTGAGAGAAATTAAGGTATAATAAGATAAATCAGGAATTATATCTGTGTAAAGTAAATAATAGCGGATGCAGATTCTTAAGCCATTACGGTAGCAAATTGAATAGAGATAGGAAGAGTTAAATCATACTTGATATACTTTCTATAAAAACATTATTATAGAGTATCAACAAATCCACATGCTCTTTTTGAAATGTACCAATATCTTTAACTCAATGAGTTATTGTACGGCGCGGTACCTATTTCACAAGATTATTCTAGAACATTTTATTCACAAGACTATTCTAGACTATTCTAGAGCGTATTCTGGAATTTTCTCATGTATTTTCACAGAATATTTTCATTGAAATCAAAAAACGTTAAGTTAACTACAAATAATGAGAATGAAAGAGCAATATATATAGCAATATATACATATATATATGGGATGCGTTTCGTAAGCCACATTTGCGAAAATACTATTAAGTACTACCAAAAATGTTATATATATTATGTATATTATATTATTACATATATATTGTATATATTACTTAAATTAAAAAAAGATAATTTGGGTTGTTTTTATAATTATTTATTTCGACTTGTTAAGCTGTTGATACTCAGTTTCTGGTTTTAGACGAACTGAAGTTTTTGAATGCACAATCTGAGTCTACTGAGTATTGCTGCTGATGACCATAATGCAGTGCTGTGCTGACACGGCACTGTTGATCGTATTTCCAGCCAAATATGTGTGTTGGTGGGAATATGCTGAGGCAGGTTTATGGTGATAATACCTGCACTTCTAAATTTAAGCCGTCTTTTGGCTTAGCCATAGTTTGAATTAGTACAATCTGAATAGATTTCTTCATAGAATTAAACTTGTGGTTTTTAAGTATATGGTTCATAACAAAAACGAGGACAAGAACGCCGCTTAGTACAAAAATTATTGATAGACTCATATTGTGGTTTCTGTCAGCCATCTGCAGTAAATGTCGAATGTAATACAAGTTTTCTATTATGGATAATAGAAGTAGTTAATGCTTTACGCTATTCGGAGAATGGTGCCCTCACTTGAAAACAGATTAATTAAATAGCTAGTATTGGAAATATTAGTTTGGGGAAAAAGAAATCCATTATTTTTTCGGTAGATGGCTGCACTGATAGATTTCTCGTAAAGTATCGATCAAACAATTTCCGATACTGTGCATTTACATACTGTACATTTCGCAGTAAAAAAAATTCTTTTGCTGTTTTTTGTTTGGTGCATTCAGTTGTGAGTTACAGCATGTTAAAAATGGAAGTGAACAAAGAGAAAATTCGGTACATTTTATAGTTTTTCTTTGACAAAGGCGAAAATGCAAGCCAGGCGGGTAAAATTGTGAATGGTGTTTATGGTTCCGATACTGTAACAGCCAATTATGTGCAATTTTGGTTTCGTAGATTCCGTTCAGGAATTTTTGATATTAAAGATGCACCTCGCACAGGTAGGCCGGTCGTCGAAAATGTCGATAAAATCGGAGAAATGATCGAAGTTGACCGGCATGTTAGCAGTCGTAACATCGCCCAGGAGCTAAAAATCGACCATAAAACAGTTTTAAACCATTTACACAAAGCTGGATTCAAAAAGAAGCTCGATGTTTGGGTGCCACACCAATTAACAGAAAAAAAATTTCCATCCGAATTTCCATCTGCGAAGCCTTGGCCAAACGGAATGAGATAGACCCATTTCTTAAACGGATGGTGACTGGAGATGAAAAATGGATCACATACGATAACCCTGTCCGAAAACGATCGTGGTCAAAGAGCGGTGAAGCACCTCAAACGACCAGGAAGGTTTTGCTATGCATTTGGTGGGACTGGAAGGGGATTATTTATTATGAGTTGCTTCCATATGGCCAAACGCTAAATTCTGATCTCTACTGTCAACAACTGGACCGTTTGAAGATAGCGATTGACCAGAAACTGCCAGAATTGGCCAAAAGGGGAAGTGTCGTGTTCCATCAGGACAACGCTAGGCCACACACATCTACAGTGACTCGCCAGAAACTTCGGGAGCTTGGTTGGGAAGTTTTAATGCATCCGCCATACAGTCCGGACTTGGCACCAAGCGATTATCATCTTTTTCTTGCATTGCGAAATTTCTTTAATGATAAAAAATTGGAATCTAGGGAGGATTGTGAAAATCGACTACTAGAGTTTTTTGCAAATAGAGACCAGGACTTCTATGAGAGAAGCATTTTGAAGTTACCTTTAAAATAGCAACAAATCATACAACAAAACGGTGCATATTTGCAATATTTGCAATCGGACAATCAGAAGCATGTTAAATAAAGTCCTGAAGTTCATATAAAAATAATGGATTTCTTTTTCCCCAAACTAATATGTGTAAGGTTATTATTAAGGGATGTATGAAGGTAATTGGTGGTGACGTTGAATCATTTTATAAGGAGCGATCATTTAATAAAAATGCGCAATGTTGATGCGGTTACAGATCTAAACTCGCACAAATATATAATATAAATTAAAAAACTAAATAATTTATCAAAATTAAAATTAATATACAGAATAATTCGATAAACCTGATTAATCTTTATAAATATTGGTGTGGGGCGTTCATTTAAATAAATTTTCGATTGGATTGACCCACCAATAACGTCATGTAATTTTAAAAGATTGTGATGAGAAATAGCTTCATCATAGCGTCTTTTAATACAGTGTTATTGAATTTTACGATGACACGATTCTATTTCTTTGATTGAGAAGAACAATTAATATAATAGTTAAACATAGCCCGAATTTTTTTGACGATATTAAGAACTTTGTCTGGGGGAGTTAGAAGAGTAGAAATTGTGTAACAAGAAATGCTTTGAACTTAGCATCGAAGTTGTCGTATTACCTACTTTCGCCAGCTCAAGAAATTATTGTAAATGAAATCAGGAGTGGTAATCTTTGCCTGTGTGCAGAATAATTTCATTGATGGCTGCGATTTTTGATACTTTATTTGCAAGCATTACACGTCACATTGGCAAGCAAGCGTCGCTTTCTTCAGTATTTTAAATAGCATATTAGCAAACAAAAAGGAAACGCCTTAGTCCTATATCGAGTAGATGGATTTTCTCCTCTAGTAGTAGTAAAAATGGTAATATTCGGAAGATAAATTAGATGGTCCCATTGTGTTGTATTGAAGTTATAGTTTTATTCACACCACTACCACGTACCAAGTATACTGTGTCTTAGAAAACGGGTTGAACTAATTTGTGCTCCCAATAAATAAAAAAATAGTCTGTTAATAAAAAGTATTAATTCTAAATCAAAAAAATTCGGTTTGGAAGTGAAAAGCAAGAAAACGATTATATTCGTCAAAATCCTAAAGAAAGGGGAAATTTTGCAAAATGTAGAATTGCTAAATGAAATAAACGTTTCATTGTGTACATGCAACAGCAGAATGCTCTAAAATATATACGTAAACATACGAAAGCACACATATAAATCCTTTTTTTAAATAGAAGCGTATTTTTAGTATGCAAGTATGCTATGCTACTATGTTATTTATATTAGTTACCTGATTTAGTTAAACACGTACCCTCCATTCTATTTCATCGGCACTAGTATAACTAATTGTAAGAGTAGTAATAAAAACAAAAGGAATGCAAAATTTCCCTTTTGGACATAATCTATTCGATTTATCACGCCCGGGACATCATAACGTCTTTAACAAAAACCTTCTTGTACGCTTCTTATCCCTAACGGTGGGAGGATTTTAAAGTAGTAAAAAGTTCGTAATACCTTTAAATATGCATCGGGAATCTCATGGGCTCCGTAGGCTGTACTTAAGTTATAAAATTATTTCTTTCTAACTTTCACCAGACGAAAGCAAGTTAAAATGTTAAAATCGAACAAAACTAGCTGTTAAACACTCCATACCACTTCGCCATATGCAGTTCGTTACTGAACTAAAACGTAGCCACATTGCCATGTAAGACGTGTCCGAAAATAATAGACCAATAAATACAAAATTTCGCATGGTATATGCCAATTTGTCGAAAAATTCTTCATCATAACAAATTTAAACTTAGACCTTGTTTCTATAAGTACAATTACTTTTTTGTAATAACATTTGCACTTAAAATCGGTGCAAATTTTCTAAATGCATTTATTATAGTAGTACAGAATACAATTTTTCATCGATTTTTAAAATGGACAATTTGCTTGCCCTTGCTTGTAAATGACCTTTACAATAATAAAGCTTAGTGTGAAGAGTGGCCGTAAGCCCATTATCATATCACAATTTAAAAAAATACATGAAGAAACATGTAAAGAGAAACTCATATCCGCACAAACTTAGAATTACCTTGCACTACAAATGGTTTGGGGCAATTTAGACGTAAGTGCATATAAACGCGTTCATGTACACAGGGTATATTGGCCTGTATTGAAGATATAGTTATATATTTTTAGGCGATGTAATTGCAATCTTCAAATGAATTTTCTATAGCTAACTTCACAAGCATACATACGTTGTTCTTCTTATCATAACTTTACACTCGAATACTTTTTTAGTAATTGCCGATAACATGCATGTCGTGAGAAAGCTAGCATTCGTTTACACATATGTAACCAATGTAGCTACAAGGTTGACCTTTACTAACCTTTCTTTAGTAAATTTAAAATAACGACCGCTATTGTTATACAAAACCATTTATTAAAAGCGTACTGAAAAAGGAAGAAAAATTTGGACTTCGAGACATATTTAAAGAGGAGTCAACTGTATAAGCACAAGCCTTGTTAAATGAATTAATGTAGTATATTTGTTTCTCCCCCCATATTTCGAATAGAGGTCAAACCACTCTGAAATCCTTAAAAACTTACAAAACGTTCTTCATTTTCTGGATCTAAATATGAATTCATTCGCCATTGTAAACTATTTTACAATTTCAGAAGCCGACGGACACCATTCAGATGGAACTGCTTCTGGTGAGGGAGAGAATTCTAATGGTGGCACTTCGAATTTGAGTTGTAATGACGACGATCAAGCGCGCCTTATTTTGAAGAGGAAGCTGCAAAGAAATCGTACATCTTTCACTAATGAACAAATTGATAGCTTAGAAAAAGGTATAATTGCTTGCGAACGATTAATCTTTGATGCATGAAGAGTAATGAGTTATGTCTGCTTTTACTGTAACTGTTTTTCGCTTTAAAAAAAAAAATAGAATTTGAACGAACGCATTATCCCGATGTATTCGCTCGAGAACGCTTGGCCGCTAAGATAGGGCTACCGGAAGCCCGAATTCAAGTTTGGTTTTCGAATCGCCGTGCTAAATGGCGCCGTGAGGAGAAACTGCGAAACCAGCGCCGTACACCAAGTTCTACGGGAGGTACCTCGTCTTCAACTGCTTCGGCTGCGTCAATTCCAGATAGTCCTAACAGTAACAGCATGGGTACTGCACCCTCCACCACTATCCTGCCAGTAACCAGTGGCAGTAAGTATTTTTGTTAAACAAGTTTGCAACGAAATATACTCACAAATTAATGTAGCGCGCATGTTTTTCGATTACTTTGGTTATACTGCCCCTTCTACAGATTCTATGACGGACATGGCTCTATCATCGCCATTGCATGCAGGTAGCGATGCAACATTTTCTTCTAGCTCCACAGTAGACGTTCCTATAGCAACAAATTCAACAGCTATTCCAGTGTCAACTCCTATAGTTGCAACCGCAACTCCAGATGACTTGAATCACCCTAATTCGACTAGCAGTAACAGTAATAGTGGTATTAGCACCTCCGGCACTGGTAGCCGTGACAGTTCTGCCAGTATTGGACCCAGCAGCAATGAAAGTCGTAATAGCGTAAACAATACCTGCTCTACCCCTACAGTCAGCAGCCATGGAAACAGTAGTACTCTTCCAATTCAAATACCAACTACGGCGGGACTCACCATTAGCCATCCACATGCCCATACTCACGAAGTACATACAAGCGCAGCTCACATAAGCGGAGCATTAGTACCGACATTATCACCTCCTCGCCTTAATATTAACGGTGGATTTAGCAGTTCAATGAGTGCCATGTATCCAGCTTTACATCATACTCCGATGCCGATGGGTGACACCTACAGGTATTTATAACTTGATGGTAACATTATATTTTAGAACGTTTCTTAGTCAGTTCACCTATAGCTATATTCCAGTCTTCCTTTCAATAGCTTTTCGGTGCTAAGCATTTAAATGGGAATTAAGATTTGGTAAAAATATGCGGAGGATTAAATCCTAGCATTACGATTTCTGCAAACAAGCAAACAATTCCTTCGTTTTATTTTAAAGAATATTCGATGTAATTAAAGTCTACATATCATATTGTTCAAACAGTCATGGTTTCTCTTTTAGGAACAAGCATATTAAAGCCATTTTCCAAATACTTTGTTCGCTCAATCTGCGTCATTTTCAACAATAGCGGGTTCAGTATGTGTTTATCGCGGCTTGCTGCTGACGATCAAACACTATAGTATACCAACAAAAAGTAGTGCAGAGGTGCTGCTTTATGGCCCGGAATTTCTTGAAAATATTGTATCATAGAAGTTATTTCTAAACTAAACAGACTATCTAACGCGCTGTGTGGCAAGAAAACTGGTTCTGTTTATACCAAGTGTTGATTAGATCAATAACTTCTAAGCCAGGGCGGAGAGATTTTTCTAACGTTGATTTGCAATGCATTTCATTCAAGGTAATTGGGTACCTATTCTTCTTTTGAAAGAAGTGAGAAAGGTTATTTCAATGAACAAAATTTTCAAACGTTGTCCAAGTCTAACGCATAAGTTAGTAGGTTGTATTAGCGCTAATAAAACAATAATTTTTTAGGTGAAATTCGATTTTGTAAATTAACATAATATTCTTGAATATTCATTTGAATGTTTCTCTAACATTTTTGTGCTCTCGTTATAGAACGATTTGTACAGCTTTTCGAAATTGGCCTCAAGTGTGGCTATCGTCGTTACAATGAGGTGGTTTATCTATAATTTGGGGTCGCTTTTTTGCAGTTTCGCGATTCAAACGCACTATAACAATGCGTTGTTATATTAACTATTGATTCCTTTCCAAGAAAGTCGATAGCACTTCGATTCATCAGGACGATTTTGTTTTAGTCATGTAAAATAGTACATACACTGCGTTCTTATTAAGATGTCAGCTATTTCACACAATTTCACTTTTCACTCGTCGAAAACAATTTTGTCCCTTTTTTTACGTTTTGTAGACGAACTACCGATTTAGGACGACCACAGCGCTCACCATCACGGGTGTTCAAAACTCTTTGTTTAAATAAGCAACCCACTCATTTTTTCGACAAACAAAAATCGTCATAAAGTTTTTCAAGCCAGTGCTGATTGCGAACATACTTTTTCTCATCAAAAATCAACGTTTAATCAATACGGGAAAGTCAGGTTTTTCCATTGTTTTGAAAATGACAAATGTCGCATCATTAATACATTTGTAAATTGCAAAGTAATGGTCGGAATGAAATTTTTGACTCATTTGGTATTAATATTGCAGTTCAAGAAATATTCGCTATTGCAGAGACCATTTCCGATATCTGAACAAAGCCATTTTTATTACTTTCTTATATTAAAATTATATGGGGCAATTGTGGCATGCATGTGCAGCATACTGATTCCGAAAGGGACACATCACGACATATGTGTCACAAATAGAAATTATTACTTGTAAGCGATCTCACATGTTGAGACTGACTCATGGAAATCCCACGGGTTCCTTATATATTCTAGGTAAACTAATACTAGTGTTTCTATAGGTAAACTAATACTAGTGTTTACGCAACAGAATAAAGGTGAATTTAAATTTAACAGAGCTGATTTTAAAAAGCAAACAAACTGAACAAAAATATCAGTTTGTGAATGAAAATAAAGAAATACCTGTGATTTCCATTTAAAGAAAATTTTATTATAATTGATAAGCGTTTGGACACTAAACTTAAAATAACGTAGGCAAAGCTTACAGCCTTGCACTATGTATTAAAAAAATTCTTAATTTAAAAACTTTTTCACGACTTTAAATAGTAATGAAATGTCATGATATATTACCAATCTGTTTCATATAGTATTAATTAAGTTGTATTCATTTTGGGGTTTCCCAAAATGCAGTTAGGATTAAATTTTTACGCCTTTTTATGGTAAAGCATTTTTAACAAAAAAATAAAGTCAGCCTGGTAGCTAATATATCAGGGTTATTAAAAATGAAGCCCGCCGAGAAAAACAACACTCCTTAAGTTCGTTTAGCGGGCTATGAAACAGCAAATTGTAAATGATGATTTTTTTGACAAAATTATCGATTTCTTCCTCGTGATGGCTTTATTTATCAGTTAAATTGTCTCATTTCTTTGTCTATCGCGAAATTATAATCAAATTTTTGTGCCCAAATTGTAAGATATGGATGTGGACGACGTGTAGTTTCAACAACGCGGTATCACATATAGCCACAGCAACAATCGAATTAGTGGATGAGTCATGGAAATTTCTTATAAAAAAAAGGTTTTTTTTTCAAATATAATTAATATTTATTTAATTTACTTATAATTTATGTATTTATTAATTTTATTTGCCAACGCATACACGTGAGAAATTTTACTCAATGAGTTATTGTACGGCGCGGTGCCTATTTCACAAGACTATTCTAGAACATCCTATTCACAAGATTATTCTAGAATGCGTTTCGTTAGCCACATTTGCGCAAATACTATTAAGTACTACCAAAAATGTTGTATATATTATATATATTATAAAAAAAGATAATTTGGGTTGTTTTTATAATTATTTATTTCGACTTGTTGAGCTGTTGATACTAAGTTTCTGGTTTTAGACGAACTAAGGTTTTTGAATGTACAATCTGAGTCTACTGAGTATTGCTGTTGATGACCATAATGCACGGCACTATTGATCGTATTTCCAGCCAAATATGTGTGTTGGTGGGAATATGCTGAGGCAGGTTTATGGTAATAATACCTGCACTTCTAAATTTAAGCCATCTTTGGGCTTAGCCATAGTTTGAGTTAGTGCAGTCTGAAAAGATTTCTTCATAGAATTAAACTTGTGTTTTTTAAGGATATGTTTCATAACAAAAACGAGGACAAGAACGCCGCTTAGTACAAATATTATTGATAGACTGATATTGTGGTTTCTGTCAACTATCTGCAGTAAGTGTCGAATGTGATACAAATTTTCTATATGATGAAAATAGCATTTCTATTATGTATAATTGTGCCGTTGACTTTTACTTGACCATCAAATAGCATCAAATATATTCCGTGAACAACTAAGGGATCTTCCTTTTTTTCTTTTATTATTGCTATCTGATCATTAATGACGATAAGTCCATCATCAATTGCAACTGTAGTTATTAAAATTCGTCTAGTAAATTGCCCTGCTTCCGGATATGAGTTGCAGAGCTTAAGACGAGGTCAATCATGTCAATTGCACTGCAGTTTTTTAAAGCCAGTATACGATTATTGCATTTAGCTACAGTGGTCTGTTCAAGGTGTAACATCTTGCCATTATGAGCAACAGGAAGTCTTATAAGTTTCTTATAAAACAAGTTAGGTATAGAATATTTTATGAGAAAAGAAACGGCATCATTTACCGTTATAACCTTAATGTTAGCATATCTTACCGTATCAGATATGTAGACCAATTATTCGTTGGAATTAAATCAATTTCTTTAGCGTTCAGAGTCCCCGGAATAAGCAAGCGAATTTTTGCGAGCGTTTGCGAGGTAGAAAGAATTACATTATCCAAATCTGTAATTGTCGCTCTATTCTTTGCTACTAAAAACTCAGAAATACATATATATAATAATTCTCCCTTTTTTTCTGCTGACAGAAATTGATTCACTATTTGCGTTTAGTTCGGTGTTTGCATCTGTATAGCGGTATTTATATTGATCTTCAGTATTCCGTGGACTTTCAGAGACGCCGTGATCTGGGGTTCCCATAATATATTTTTTATATTATTGCTAAAGCATTCTATCCGCGTTTTTGCCTGCGATGTAAATTTATTAACCTATTTAGTTGACTATTAATTTCATGAAGATCTGTTATGAGAGATGCCTAAGCTGGTTCACCTTTCAAATCTGAGCACAACGTCAAGTTTGTCATCTATTTGAAGTAACTATATTCTTACCATGTAACTAATATTGGAATGCAGTTTGCGTCTGAATAATTTAAAATTACAGCTGTTGGAACTGCTATATAAACGGTTGTTTATTTTAACCCAAACTTTTTCTCCTGTTTTACGTGTTTGAGTTTGCCGACTTTTGTTGCATAGTGCAAGTTCTTACCGTTGAGCGCTCTGAATTTGATTAGAGGACTTTCGACAAGTTTATTTCCAGTTACTGTATGTACTGACTTGTTATACCACTTGTTGGTTAATAGTATAACTTTCTCTGTATCCTCTAAACACCTGTCAAGTTTTAAATAGCGAGTAATTTTCGTCTGAGTACGGCGAAACCTCTCAACCTGGCCATTTGAAGTACTGTGCAGTGGTGGACGTCAATAGTGAAATGATTTTTCATTGTCGACGTTGTACTGCTCGAATTGGACACTTTCTCATTGTCGAAATATATAGTTGTTTTATAAAAAAATAGGTTCAATAATTGGAGGAGCAGAGGCTTAGCATGTACTATTGCACCGCTCTTAGTGGTTGGACTACAGCAACTTTTGGAAACTTGTAAAAAATTATACATGTAAAAAAGCGTCCAGGCAACGTAGAATAAATATCTGTATAGAGGATTTCGCCGCAATTCAATGGCTTGGTCGGCATCAATCTTTCCTAT